AGTTTCAATTTTAATAGCATTTAAAACTTCATTCTGTTGACCAGAAGTGAGTACATTATCCCACCATCCTTTAAGGATGCCAGTAAATCCATTAACAATGAACTTAGCTATCTGATGGTCAGAATTACTATTCTGTTTACATATCGTGGCATACATAAGGATTTGATGTATTAATTCAAATAGGTGGCATTCAGAATAACCATCTAATTTCCATTCGTAGATGGTTTTGCCATGGTAAGAGTTCTGGGCATGAAAGTAATCTTCTTCATAAAGGATATCCTGTGGGGTAGGTCTATGGTAGTAATACCTACTCGATCCTGCTGCTATTGTCCTGTGGGGTAGGTCTATGGTAGTAATACCTACTAGATCCTGCTGCTGTTATTGTTCACCCTGTGTCCTTGGGGAAGACAGTTCTGTTAATAGATTGCATATCTTGAAAATTATTCTAAATTTCATAAATGAGGGAAAGGGTAATTTCCTCATCCTCCTGATTTAATTCTGGAGTTTGTTGAGTAGACAACATATTTATAGAACTATTTCTTGGTGCGAATTTCCCTAAATCTAATTCACTCATTTTTCGCAGAAGGGTATCCATGAATTCATTGTCCTGTTGATCAGAATGTAACTTAAAATTAGTTACTTCTACAAGTGGTTTAATATTTACCAGTTGAAGAGTAGAGACTGGTGTTGGAATCAATTGACGGTCTTTAAAGGTTTCAATGGTTTCCTCAATTCTGGTCAATTTCTTTCCTACGGTTTGAAAACATAAATTAGTATAATTATTCTGTTTGATAAATGGCACAATATCTTTAATCTGTAAAGACTCTTTTTGAGCCATTCTGGAGGGAGTTTCCACATAAGCTATGATGACAAACGGTTGATGAGAGACATCACTAGGGGCTAACTTGAAAGACTGTGGTGGTGGATGAACAGAAACTATTTTTTGACCACCTACTGTTTGCCATGTTCTCTGTATTTTCTCCAAGACATTAATCTGGGATTTTGGAATAGATTCCATAATTGTGATAAATTCATAAAACCATTCTGGGAAAGTTTTTTAGATGATAATAATACTGATTTTTTAACTATTGAAGTTCACATTCAGTATGATTATTAAAATACCATAATCTAAATTCTTGATATTTATCCTGCATAAAATCCTGGTTTAATTGTTTTAAAATTGTACTTCCTGGTGTAAAATCCATTTAAATTTCAAAATTCATATCACTAGTAGTTGGGCTCCCAAGCCTTATGATTTCATAAACTCCATGAGGAATTTGGTTTTCAGATATGTGAATACCCTAGATTAGGGTTTCAGGAAGAGGGTCAGGAGAAGGCTGACTAGGAGGCCATGAAGGCATCCCTTGGTTTACAGATTCTATGGGTTCAGACAAACAATGTCTAGATGATTCTGGTAAATCTACCCGATATCCATTTTTCAAAATCCTGAGTTTAAGAACTTTAGACAGATTTGGATCTATGAGTGCTATACTCAAATTAGGATATATGTTGAAATATACTGGTCCATGAGATAAGCTAGTTTCAATAGCTTCCATTAAAGAAGCTTTCCAATCAATGCATAAGCCATCCCTGAGTGTGCAAGTAAGACTGGTATTTTGCCCAAACAGAGTTAAGGGTTTAAAAGCTATCTGCACAAGTCCTATATGGACATACTTGTATTTTTTTAAAAAGGGTCTTAAATCCTGTATCTGTAATAATTGAATTACTTCATCATCATTCTGTAAAGGAACTTCATGTTCAAAAGTTTTAATGATTTTTCTACTGGTAAAATCAAAAGTACCAATTTTATAAATGGTTTCTGGTTTGACTTTAGGAAGGGACCATTTATCAAGGGCTTCCCTAACATCCTGGTAGGCTACTAGTTCTGCTACTTCTGATGTAGAAGCTACTGTATTGGTTACTGTTGTGATGGGTGCTTCTTCTGCCATTGGTTGTGTGGGACCATATATGCATAATTTAATTAGCATATGAATGTATTATATGAATAAATAAACATGGCTCTGATACCAACTGAGTGCTCGAAAGTGGGATAAATTTGGGTTACAGTTAGAAGTAACTAATTTTAAGTTACATTCTAATCAACAAGGCAATGAATTCATGGATACCCTTCTGCGAAAATGACTGAATTAAATTTAGGGAAATCCGCACCAGGAAATAGTAATATAAATATGTTGTCTACTCAACAAACGCTAGAATTAAATCAGGAGGATGAGGAAATTACCCCTTCCCTCATTTCTGAAATTCAGAATAATTTTCAAGATATGCAATCTGCTAATAGAACTATCTTCCCCAAGCACACAGGGCGAACAACAGTAGCAACATCTAGTAGGTATTACAACCATAGACCTATCCCACAAGATATCCTTTATGAAGAACATTACTATCATGCCTAGAACTCTTACCATGGCAAAACCATCGATGAATGGAATTTAGATGGTTATTCTGTGTAATAACCTGACCCTCGTACATGTTTTCTAGTATGCTTTCAGTCCCTTACTCTGTGCATTTATATGCTTGCTGTGAAATTCCATGTGAAATTAAGTTTAATTGAGTGAATCTTATGATTATAGATCCATATCTGTCTAATAAGAGAAATATCTGTTACAATTATGATGTTTGGATCAAAAATTGGAAGCCTTCGAAACTTGATAATTTGAAATTGACTTTATAATTGAGTTCAGCATAATTTTTAGATCATAATATGCTTTCTCGTAAATATCTGATTCGGAATCATTAAACTGATTGAATTTTGTCTTATTCAACCTTTTTATATCTATATGTACCTCTTTGAACATTTAACATAGAGGCTTTCTTACTAAAAATATCTCCTGAGAGAGAGAGAAAGTTAGAGAAGAAGAGAGCTTGAGAGGAAGAAGAGAAGTTCAACAAGGAAGAGGATTGGGAAAATTGAGAGGGTTTGTAAAGATTTGAGCTCAAGGTAAGTTTCACCTATCTACAATAATCCCTTATTGGACTTGAATAAGGTTCTCTATGTATTTATATGGTTAGGGTTTGTAATTTAATTAATTGTAAAGAGGTTGTATCATTTTGACCATTTGAGTTAATTGAGCTTTATGGAAATGAATTACATTCTATTCCTTCATTTTCCATGCTTGAGTTTGTGTATGTATTTAGATGATTACATATTTGGGAAACTAAATATGTTAGAAACTCAAAGTCATTAACTTGTGTTTATGAGTTTAAAGCTTTTAAGGATCAAATTGAGTTTGTGAATTATGTTTATGGTAATAATATATCCTAAAACTTACATTGTTGTACCTATTTTTCTACTCTTCCATATGTTGGCTTTGTTGAATTTGTATCTTGGTTCGGACTGCAAAACAGGCGTAACCGCCACACGTGTGGGGCTCACAGCCGCACGTGCAGAAAACAGGGGAAATTGGGGCTGAAGACACTGCAATATATGCACGTGTGGGGCGCACGTGCGGCAACTTTTCCGCGCGTGCGCCGAAGGGCCCCCGCACGTGCGGCCCATGGGGGAAAAATCTTTATTCTCCGTTTCGTCATCTTGACCCTCTGGGATTGCTAAAATCTATGTTTGTTGCTTTTAAAATGGTTGTAAATTCATTAGAAGCGAACGAATCCAATATTGTTTAAAAAGGAAACTGAACTAATGTCTGAACTGTATGTGTGCGTAGGTCACATACAGGAGGGGACTATCGCTCCACAACAGCACTGTGAGTAATAGTACTATAGTAGTACATTTGCTTATTGTTAATAGTTATTATTAACACTCTGTTATTCGCAAGTTAACTATGCTAACTTATATGAACGATTGGAAACCTGTGTACATCTGTATGACTCTGGAATTATTCTGCCTTGTTGGTATCTGGGCCAGAGGCCGATCTGTAAAGTCTGTTGGGCTAGAGGCCGATCTGTAAAGTCTGTTGGGCCTGAGGTCATTCTGTATGTTACTGGGCTTGAAGCCACTCTGTATAAAGATTGGGCCCAAGGCCGTTCTGAAAATGTTTACAGAATAAGATTAATCATATGTTCTCTTCACATATATACATTATAATTCAAGTTTATCCAGTGAATTGTTTAAGTACTATTATTCACTGAGCCTTGCTCACTCTGTATTATATTTGTCCCTGTAGGTAATCAACCTGGAGGTCAGTCTTAAACCATCATGCCCGTTTCTCTTTTGTCAAATTCAATGCGACCAAGCACTTAGATAAAGCTCATTAATTTTGTGGGCTTCTTGCTAAGCTTTTAGCTTTGTTCTCTAAGTCTTCTATATAATGTCATGAAATGTGTATAACCTCCTTTTACTAATGCTTTTGCTACACGCCCAATCATAGGGCTGGGTCTGTATATATGTATGTACATAACTATTTCTCATATGTATGTCCCTATATGTTTGTCTACCTGATGCAATGCTTGTGATCTTGGCATATTAGTGGTAGCTCAATGGATACTATTTATGTTGGTAATTGCTTCCGTTCAGGCCCCATATGTTATGCAAATAGAATTTTGAGTCTGTTTCGAATTGGTCATGCCCAAACTTTTAGGGGCAAGTTTGGGGTGTGACAAGTGGTATCAGAGCACGAGTTGCTATCTCACACACGGATCCATTGAGCCTTAGGATGTCTAGAAAAGATTTAGGCATCATGCATAATATTCTGACTGCACGTGAAAAGCTTGATGGCAACGTTAATTGTATATGTAGTGTTTGCTAACTCCAATGATTATGCTCCATGTCTATTGTATATCTTTTGTGCATATTGTAATTGATTGTCATGTAGAATATGGTGAGAACAAGAACGGAAGACCCGGAAGACTCTACTTCTGCACGGTTGGACAGGATGGAAAGAATGATCATGGAAATGACGGAGACTTTACAACAACAACAGCAATAACCACAACCACAACCGCCACCGCCACCGGTACCTCCATCTGTGGTACAAGATTTCCATGCTGAGGACCGAACCATCACACTCACAAAGGAATTTAAAAAGATGAAGCCGCCATCATTCAAAGGAGGAATAGAACCAATGAAAGCTGAAGCATGGGTGTTGGGGATAGAAAAGCTGTTCGAAGTTTTTCCTTATACTAAAGCCCAAAAGCTGCAACTTGCTGCCTTCACTCTTGAAGATGAAGCACGGAGGTGGTGGATGCTTACGAGAACTGTATACCAAGGGTTAACAAGGAACAGATTCTTGGAACTGTTTTATGACAAGTACTTTTCCCAAAGTATGCGAGACAAGAAGGTGACAGAATTTGAAACTCTCAGACAAGGAAATAAAACCGTTGCGGAGTATAAAGCCCAATTTGCAGAGCTGGCCCGGTTCGTACCTCATATGGTGGATACAGAGTATAAGAAAGCACGGAAATTTGAGGGGGGATTACGGAATGCTATCCTTGACCGAGTCAACATGTTGAAGTTACCCACCTATGTTGATGTGTTGGAGAGGGCTGTTATAGCAGAGGGAAACATTGCTGCTCAGAATCGGATTTTCGAGTGGAAAGGAAAGAGGTAGAACATTCAATTATCAAAGGGGTCAGCCACTCCACCAAACAAGAAACAAAATTCAGGGACCTCTAGTACTTCCACCTCTACTCAAGATTCAACTCCTATTTGTTCAGAATGTAGAAAGAAGCACCGTGGGACTTGCTATCGGTTGACTGGAGCATGTTTTAGGTGTGGCAAAACGGGTCATCTGGTAATGGACTGTCCTCAGAGAAATCAACAAAATGGAAATAGGGCTACTGCAAGTTCAGCAGCGTCCACACCAGCTTCCAACACCAAGTCAGCTGCGAAGCCTGTTAACAATAAAGACACCGTGAGACAAGGGAGGGTATTTGCATTGGTTCCGGGAGATGTGTAAAATGCTGCAACAGTGGTGTCAGGTACATTTATTGTTTACGGTCATTCTGCTCATGTATTGTTTGATTCTGGCTCCACTCATTCCTTTGTGTCAAAACTATTTGCTCAAAATTTAGATAGATTTGAGGAAGTATTATCTTATATGTTATGTGTGTCTTCACCTTTGGGAGACTCTATGGTCTGTACTTCTGTATATTTTGCTTGTGAACTCCTAATTGGGGATATCTAGGTATATGCCAACTTATTGCCTCTTGATATGACTCACTTTGATGTTATTCTGAGTATGGACTAGCTGAGTGACTATCGTGCGACAATTGACTGTCTGACTAAGCAAATTAGTTTCCACCCTCTGAGACAATCAGAATTTACCTTTTAGGGGCATGGAGTAACTTCGCCACCCTATGTAATTTCTGCAATGAAGGCATGTAAACTACTACAGAAAGGATGTCAGGGTTATTTATGCAGTGTTTTGGAGGGGCAAGTGATGAATGGGAGTACTGATATGATTCCAGTTGTTTGTGAATTTCTGGATGTTTTTTCGGAAGAGTTACCAGGGGAGTTAGTAGACCATGAAATTGAATTTATGATTGAAGTGGTACCGGGAACTCAACCCATTTCTAAAACTTCGTATAGAATGTCACCGGTTGAAATGAAAGAGTTGAAGGTTCAGTTGCAAGATTTACTTGATAAGGGGTTCATTCGCCCCGAGTGTCTCTCCTTGGGGTGCACCAGTTCTGTTTGTGAAAAAGAAACATGGAAGGCTCCGATTATGTATAGATTACAGGGAACTTAATAAGGTAACGATCAAGAATAAGTACCCATTGCCTCGGATCGATGATTTGTTTGACCAGCTACAAGGGGCACAAGTCTTTTCAAAAATTGATTTACGGTCCGAATACCACCAACTGAAGGTCAAAGCTGATGATGTTGAGAAGACAACTTTCCGAACTCGATACAGTCATTATGAATTTCTGGTTATGCCCTTTGGAGTTACTAACGCACCAGCAGCATTTATGGATTTGATGAATCGTGTCTTCAAGCCCTATCTGTATGAGTTTGTAGTGGTATTTATCGATGACATCCTCATTTACTCGAAGAATGTAGAAGCTCATGAGAATTATCCTCGTTTAATTCTTCAAACACTTCGAGAAAGGAAATTGTATGCAAAGCTGAAGAAATGTGAATTCTGGCTACATGAGGTAGCATTCTTGGGGTATGTGATAACAAAGGAAGGAGTTTCTGTTGATCCACACAAAATTGAGGCAATCGTGAATTGGCCAACTCCTACCAATGTGACTGAGGTGCGTAGCTTCCTGGGATTAGCAGGGTACTACAAGAGGTTTGTTCAAGATTTCTCCAAAATCCCTGTACCGCTTACTCAACTGACTCAAAGGGAGTTGCATTTGAATGGTCAGAATAGCGGGAATCTGCCTTCCGGGAATTAAAAATGAAGTTAACTACAGCTCCGATTCTTGCCTTACCATCTGGTACCGAAGGATTTGTGATCTACAGTGATGCTTCCCATAAGGGATTACGTTGTGTGCTTATACAAAGTGGAAGGGTTATCGCTTATGCTTCACGACAGCTTAAACCCCATGACAAGAATTATCCCACACATGACCTTGAGCTAGCCGCAATAGTTTTTGCTTTGAAGATATGGTGGCATTACTTGTATGGCACTACTTGTGAGGTCTACATCGATCATAAAAGCCTCAAGTACCTTTTTACCCAGAAAGAGTTGAATATGCGACAACGGCGATGGTTAGAACTTATTAAAGACTACGATTTGCAGATCCTATCATCCTGGTAAAGCCAATACGGTTGCAGACGCACTTAGTCAAAAAAGTATGGGAAATTTGGCAAATTTGTTTACGGGGCAAAAGGAGTTATTATTTGAATTGGAAAGAATGAATGTAGACCTTGTGACACATGAGCAGGATGTTATGGTAGCAGTAATAACAATCCAACCAACATTGATTGAAGAAATTAAGCAGAGACAAATGGAAGATGAATTTTTAAAGAAGATCTGTGATGAGTTAGGGACAAAACCGAGATCGGGATTCAATTTGATGAATTCAGTACTCAAATTTCACAGCAGATTATGTATTCCCAATGTGTCAGAACTTAAATGGAAATTAAAGGAAGAAGCACATGCCTCGAGATTTTCAATGTATCCTGGGAGTACTAAAATGTATCGGGATTTGAAACAAAATTTTTGTGGCCAAGAATGAAAAAGGAGATCGTGGATTACGTCTCTAAATGTTTATAGTGTCAGCAAGTAAAAGTAGAGCATCAGAGACCGGCAGGGTTATTACAACCCCTTCCAATCCCGGAGTGGAAATAGGAACATCTAACCATGGATTTTGTTGTAGGGTTACCACGGACTCCTCGGGGTATGAATTCTATATGGGTCATTGTAGACCATCTAACTAAGTCTGCCCATTTCATACCTGTGAAAACTCAGTACAATGTAGACAAACTTACTGTAATCTATGTGAATGGAATTGTGAGACTCCATGGTGTTCCGGTTTCAATAGTATCCGATAGGGATCTGAAATTTGTGTCAAGATTTTGGCAGAGTTTACAGGAAGCAATGGGTACAAAATTAAAGTTTAGCACGGCTTTCCACCCTCAGATAGACGAAAAATCCGAGAGAACGATACAGACGCTGGAGGATATGCTTCGAATGTGTGTTTTGGATTTTCAGGAAAGTTGGAAAACTCATCTACCGTTGGTAGAGTTCGCATATAATAATAGTTACCATTCGAGTATTAGGATGGCACCCTATGAGGCTTTGTATGGGAGACCATGTCGCTCCCCCGTGTGTTGGGCTGAAGTTGGAGATAGATCATTGTTAGGGCCCGAAATTGTCCAGCTGACAACTGAAAAGGTTAAAACTATCCGAGAAAGACTGAAAACCACCCAAAGTAGGTAAAAGAGTCATGCGGATCACCGATGAAGAAATGTGAAATTTCAGGCAGGTAATCATGTTTTTGAAATTTCAGTCCCTTTATCGGATGTCCCTTTATTTGAAATTTGAAATAGTTATGTACACCAACATCCAGCATTATTCCCATCATAAGGTAAAACAAGTTTGAGGGACCAAACTTATTTAAGAGGGGGGGGGGGAGAGTGTAATAACCCGACCCTCGTACATGTTTTCTAGTATGCTTTCAGTCCCTTACTCTGTGCATTTATATGCTTGCTGTGAAATTCCATGTGAAATTAAGTTTAATTGAGTGAATCTTATGATTATAGATCCATATCTGTCTAATAAGAGAAATATCTGTTACAATTATGATGTTTGGATCAGAAATTGGAAGCCTTAGAAACTTGATAATCTGAAATTGACATTATAATTGAGTTCAGCATAATTTTTAGATCATAATATGCTTTCCCGTAAAAATCTGATTCGGAATAATTAAACTGATTGAATTTTGTCTTATTCAACTTTTTTATATCTATATGTACCTCTTTGAACATTTGACATAGAGGCTTTCTTACTAAAAATATCTCTTCAGAGAGAGAGAAAGTTAGAGAAGAAGAGAGCTTGAGAGGAAGAAGAGAAGTTCAACAAGGACGAGGATTGGGAAAATTGAGAGGGTTTGTAAAGATTTGAGCTCAAGGTAAGTTTCACCTATCTACAATAATCCCTTATTGGACTTGAATAAGGTTCTCTATGTATTTATATGGTTAGGGTTTGTAATTTAATTAATTGTAAAGAGGTTGTATCATTTTGACCATTTGAGTTAATTGAGCTTTATGGAAATGAATTACATTCTATTCCTTCCTTTTCCATGCTTGAATTTGTGTATGTATTTAGATGATTACATATTTGGGAAACTAAATATGTTAGAAACTCAAAGTGATTAACTTGTGTTTATGAGTTTAAAGCTTTTAAGGATCAAATTGAGTTGCCATTGGTTGTGTGGGACCATATATGTATAATTTAATTAGCATATGAATGTATTATGTGAATAAATAAACATGGCTCTGATACCAACTGAGTGCTCGAAAGTGGGATAAATTTGGGTTACAGTTAGAAGTAACTAATTTTAAGTTACGTTCTAATCAACAAGGTAATGAATTCATGGATACCCTTCTGCGAAAATGACTGAATTAAATTTAGGGAAATCCGCACCAGGAAATAGTAATATAAATATGTTGTCTACTCAAGAAACTCTAGAATTAAATCAGGAGGATGAGGAAATTACCCCATCTTTCTGAAATTTAGAATAATATTTAGAACTCTTACCATGGCAAAACCATCTATGAATGGAATTTATAGATGGTTATTCTGTGTAATAACCCGACCCTCGTACATGTTTTCTGGTATGCTTTCAGTCCCTTACTCTGTGCATTTATATGCTTGCTATGAAATTCCATGTGAAATTAAGTTTAATTGAGTGAATCTTATGATTATAGATCCATATCTGTCTAATAAGAGAAATATCTATTACAATTATGATGTTTGGATCAGAAATTGGAAGCCTTAGAAACTTGATAATCTGAAATTGACTTCATAATTGAGTTCAGCATAATTTTTAGATCATAATATGCTTTCTCGTAAATATCTGATTCGGAATCATTAAACTGATTGAATTTTGTCTTATTCAACCTTTTTATATCTATATGTACCTCTTTGAACATTTG